TCCCTTCCCTTCCCTTCCCTTCCCTTCCCTTCCCTTCCCTTCCCTTCCCTTCCCTTCCCTTCCCTTCCCTTCCCTTCCCTTCCCTTCCCTTCCCTTCCCTTTCTTTTCTTATTTTTAAACAAAACAGGTCTCTATAAAAAGATCTTATGTCAAAAATATTTTTATGTATACAAATATTTTTTAAATTTATATATATTCTAAACCATTTTATTGAGGTCTGATTGACAGACAAAAAACTATACATATTAATGTATGCAACTTGATGAGTTTGGAGATAAGTATACATCTGTGGAACATCATGATGCCTGTAGTTAAGAAAAATTTGTGAAAGGAATAGATCTGATGTTCTGTGTTCTCATCTCCACCACACACACACATACAATAATGATAAATAAAGAGGGCAGGAGGCAACTACTTTTGGAGATAATGGATATATTTATATTTTTATAACTTTGATTTTATGCTATAGGCATGTAACTCACAAACTAAGGAGTAACAACTTAAGTATATAGTTAGAGATATGTTTCAGATGACCTCGATGAACACAATTCTGCCTTCCAAAAGAAAACTATTTCTAAGCTATACCTTCTAAAAAGTATTCAATTATGTCTTTATTTTTTGAGAACATTAAAAATTTGGCCTGTTTAATGTCTCCTTCTAAAAAAATAATGTAGGCTGAGTCTGAGAGATAATTGGTTTTCTTGAAGAATACCTTGATCTCTGGTTAGACTGAAACAACAGGACTTATCTCTTCACAGCAGCTTTCCTCAGATGGGCGAAGAAATGTAATTGACGTATAGTGCGAGATGGTTCTGGCCCGTGTCATTTCCCATCTTCCCCTCAGGAAGCATTCACAGGCTACATTTCTGGTTGTTTGACTTAGGATTTGTCCTTTTTTTGGGGGAAGATAATTCAGAATGTTTTGTGTGAACAGGGTTAGGGAAACAGATGAAAAAACAGCAGTTGAGGGAGACTCATGAGCCTCTGTGTGCTGAGGGGAGTCTTGGAGAAACAAATAGGTGATAGTTTTCTAAGCATAGACCGGGAAGAGGTAACATCATTCATTTTAACCCCTAAATGACCTTAAAGAGATTTTTTTTTTTTTTAAACTTCAAAATCCTGAATTTGATATACAGGTTGATTTGAATTTTGTTTGCTCTTAAGTGATAAGGCATTCATAGTTAATCTAATAAGAACACTGTGTTCTGAACCTTATTGGGTCTTTTCCAGTCATTGATTAGCATCCTGTTTATTTTTAATCAAGACATCTATTGCCACTTAGGGAATAGGGGGAAAACCTTGAGTATTAGAGTTAGTAATTGTTAACTATTTCTGGTATGATATTAAGAAAGTCAGTACAGTTAGATATCATAGATTATGACTTTCCAACTGATCCAATTTGTTTTCCCTTCCATTGTTTTAATATTTTATATACCTATACTAGAGGCTCGGCACACAATTAAATTGCGTGCATGTAGGGTCCCCTAGGCCTAGCCTGCCATCAGGGCCATGTCTGCACTATGGCATCCCACAAAGCTCTGCCAATGCTGCTGGCATCCCAGAGGAGAGGACAGGCCCCAGACCCTGCTGCCACCACCACCTAGGGCCTTGTGAGCTCATTTGTGCCTGGCTGGTCCTCATTCCTCTTTTCCCCATGTTGAGTGTCTGAGCCATTGGCTGCTCCAAACCCTTTGGTGCTTTCCCTTAGTAACAGCTTTTACCTTCTGCCTCAATTCCTCTCCTAGCTCGTGCCCTTCCCCTGTATGCTGCCTCCCTCCGCTGCCTGCTGTGTGCACTCCTGCGGGCACGCGCCCCCCCCCCCCCTCCCTGCAGCACCTCTGCTCGCCACCTGGGGACCTGCGCTACGCTCAGGCCCCTGCCCACCCGGCTGAGGGGCCCTGCCCATCAGCTGCCTGCCTTGCTGCGATTAGAGCCTGTGGGCCACAGGACTGAGTGGTGCTCCATGCACCTCCTAGTGATTTGGTTGTTACGGTGTTACGACCAACGAGTTTTTATTATATAGATATTGAGACATAAGGAACTGTAGGGCTATGTAGTAAATGCTGAACATGTAATTTGTTTTGCAAAAAAATTCTGCTTCTCATAGGGGAGAGTGTATTTACAATTATTTCTATGGCAGAATCTGTATATCCTATATAACAAAGAGGTAATATGCAAATTGACTATCATGCCCTTGCACAAATGGCTGCCCACATGTGGTCACAAGGTGGCTGCCACAAGGTGGTGGTCAGGGGTGGGCAGTTGTGGGCAATCAGGCCAGCAGGGGAGGGCAGTTAGGGGTGACCAGGTTGGCAGGGGATGGAAGTTGGGGGCAATCAGGTTGGCAAGGGAGCAGTTAGGTGTTGATCAGGCTGGCAGGGGAGTGGTTAGGGTATGATCAGGCTGGCAGGCAGAAGCAGCTAGGGGCAATCAGGCAGGTAGGCAGGCAGGCAAGCGGTTGGGAGCCAGCAGTCCAGGATTATGAGAGGGATGTCTGACTGCTGGCCTGTGGGATCGGGCCTAAACAAGCAGTTGGACATCCCCTGAGAGGTCCCAGATTGAAGTGGGTGGAGGCTGGGCTGATTGAAGTGGGTGGAGGCTGCCCCCCCACCCCCCAGTGCATGAATTTCGTGCACCGGGCCTCTAGTATATATAAAAGCCTAATCTTTCAACTGTCCGACCAGTAGCTATGACTCTCACTGACCACCAGGGGGCAGACACTCAACCACTCAACGCAGGAGCTGCCAAGTGACAGCAACTTTGCAGAGTGCCCTCTCACACTTCGGGACCCCTCAGGGGATATCGGACTGCCTGTTTTGGCCCAATCCCCACAGGCCAGGCCGAGAGACCCCCACCTACCGGAGGGACCCTGCTTACTCTGCAGATGCCCTTTGAGCCCCGGTGCTGCCCCAGGTGTAGCCAGCTGGGGAGGGACGTGGGAGGTTGGCTCTAGGGCATATCCAGCCTGTCTCACCCAGTCCCACCCCACTGGCCATCTTCTAATTAATTTCCTTTCAATGTGAATGAATCTGTGCACTGACTGGGCCTCTAGTTAATTATAATTCATTGTACTCTTTTAAAATAGTAAGAACTTTAGGGTTTTGCTTTTATTTAATCAGAACATGAAAGTTCTTGATATGATATAAACATGAATGTGCAGGAAGATTATTTTTCACAGTTATTTTACCTCTTTAAAAGATATTCTGAATAAAACAATCTAGTGGATGGACTTTAGTTATCTTTTACTTTTCAGTGTTGAAGTATTATTTCCTATACTTATGCTATGTGTGGAGACAAATTTTATTTTTGTATAATTTCAATGAACTTCTGATAGCTGTAGTCATAAACTTCATGTCTCTCACTTTCCCTCCCTTCCTCCCTCCCTCCCCACCTCCTACTCCCCCTGCTTTCCACTTCTCTCTCTCCCTGCTCCATTCTACCACATACTACTCACTTCTGAGACAGCTCTGGTGTAATGTAATGGACTAGGCACTGGGCTCGGTTTCAGAGATGTAAGTTTGAGTTTTGCTCTGCAGTATACAAGCTCTGAGGACTTTGACAGATTACTTAACTTCTTAGGACCTTAATTTATTTATAAAATGAAGGAAATAATCATCATGGTTGTGAAAGGATAAATGAAATATTGTACATGAAGAAACACAACTAATACACCTTATTGAAATTTTTTTTATTGGAATAAAATATATATAACATAAGAGTTACCATTTTAATCATTTTAAGAATACCATGTTAGCATTAAGTATATTTACAGTGTTGTGCAACCATCACAGAAACTCTGTATTCTCTTAATAATTACTCTCTACTTCTTCCTCTCCCCAGTTGTTGGTAACCACTGTTCTACTTTCTATTTCTATGAATTTGACTGTTTTAGGTACTTCCTATAAATGGAGTCATATATTATTTGCTCTTTTGTCTTTGGCTAATTTCACTTAGCATAATGTCTTCAAAGTTCATTAATGTGTCAGAATTTCAGTGCTTTTCAAGACTGAATAATATTTCATTCTATGTTTATACTAGAGGCCCAGTGCACGAATTTGTGCACCAGTGGGGTCCCTTAGCTTGGCCAGTGGGAATGGGCCAAAACTGGCTCTCTGACATCCTCTGAGGGATCCTGGATTGTGAGAGGCACAGGCCAGGCTGAGGTACCCCACTGGTGCACGATCAGGGCCGGAGAAGGACGTGAGAGGTTGGTCAGCTAGGGAGGGACTGTGGGAGGGCTTCAGGGCATGTTCGGCCTGTCTCGCTCAGTCCCGATCAGCCAGACCCCAGCAGCAAGCTAACCTACCAGTCAAAGCATCTGCCCCCTGGTGGTCAGTCAATGTCATAGTGACTGGTCAACAGGTTGGTGTACATCATAGAGAGTGGTTGAGCAGCCTTAGTATATCATTAGCATATTATGCTTTGATTGGTTGAATGGATGACCGGATGACCAGACACTTAGCATATTAGGCTTTTATTATATAGGTTCATATTTGGTTTTTCCATTTATTCCTTGGTGGACATTTGGATTATTTCCATCTTTTAGCTAATGTGAAAAATGCTGCTGTGAACATTTGTGTGCAAGTATCTGTTTGAATCCCTTTTTTCAGTTCTTTAAGGTTTACACCTAGGAGCAGAATTGCTAGATCATATGGTGATTCTTTAACTTTTTGGATGACATTCTACTTTTAAGTATTTTTGGAATCTATTGAATTGATTGTAGTGATGTGACTCCTAAATGGAGTGTTTGTTCAGAGTGGTCATTTAATTCCCTTAGTTTATGTGATGTGAGTCAGGACTGTGAGATCACCTTCAATTTCAGGAGTTCAGGAGCAACTTAACCAGGACGGCAAGCTTTCTAGCCCATGGTTCTCAGAAATGTATTCACTGTATGCTTAGAGATCATTGAGGGTGAAGATTTGCTCTGTTGATGCCCAAATGTGTTGATTAAACAATAGCTGTATCAGTGGATATATTTTCTGCTTTGTACCTTTCTGCAGGGATTTGAGGAGACGGAAGAGGCTGACGACAGGCTGATGGGCTCAGTTGGTAGGCTGCATTATCTCACCATGACTGCCGAAAACCCGACGCCTGGAGACCTGGCTCTGGCTCCTCTTGTCACTTGCAAACTCTGCCTGTGTGAACAGTCTTTGGACAAGATGACCACACTCCAGGAATGCCAGTGCATCTTTTGCACAGCTGTAAGTTTTCCTTGATGCTTTCATCATGAGGATATACAAAGGGAAGAACTGTAAAGTTATAGGATACATTTCTGTGGCTTACAGAGAAGCCAGAGTGGCTACAATATGGTCCTATTTTGGAGAGCATTCCACATTTGGATCTGTTTCCAAATAGTACCTTGAATGGTAAATTCTGTATTTACTGGTTTTTAGGAAGTATGTAATATGAGTGTGAAATTTAATTATTTGTCAGTGGGCAGAGTTATTCTGTTCTTCAAATTCTGGCTAAGAAACAAAAGAGAGGCATTTTTAACATGCCTCAGCTAACTATCATCTGGAAGAAGCTCATGGGGTATTTTGAGTGATGGAGAAATCAGGTAGTAATTTACTGACTTTTCTTTCATATACTTGCTTGAGCATCTCCTACAAAGCACATGGTATGCACTGTTTTACTTTGTCATATCTACTCTTTTTTATTTATTTTCTATTTTCATAATTTGCCAAAGGCTGTTTATCATACTAGAGAAATGCTATAAAAGTCCAGGTGTGGGCTTGTCCCTTTCAGTCTGACCCTCGGTATCAATGCCCATGACCTTTATTATACGTTTCCCAGGAGGTTGGTTAATTAAGGTCTAAAGCTAGGAAACAGACTGATGCGTTCAAAGTGACTATTAGAAGTATGAGCCCTGGTAAGTTTACTCAAATTTTCATTTATTTAAATATTTTTTTGAGTTTCTGCTGTGTGCCAGGCACTCTGCTGAATGTTGGGAATAAAAAAAATGAATAAGTTACTTTCCACAGGGAAGATGGACACGTTGAAGGAACTCTGCTAGAGTCTGGTGAGATCAGGGATGGTTGAACATAACACCCCACCTCACCCCCTCGGCAGGGTGTATGGAGGGGCTTCCAGTTAGCAGTGATCTTCAAGCTGAGGCTTTAACATGAGATTTCAAACCTGATAAACCTGATGCCCATGGACCACGTCTGGCCTCAATACTCTTTTTTTTTTTTTTTAAATTGAGAAATTTAAGACAACAAATTTTATAAATTTTTCATGAAAAAGTAGTAAGATATAGCTACTCTGTGCCTGTGTTCATAGGTCCAGAAATAGATGATCTTCCCTCCATTTATGTACACGTCTCTCTCCAGTATGTATTTGAATTAACTGTGCTTTCAAACTAAGGATGGGTCGGTGAAGAGTCAGAAGAGAAGAGTACTGGCATCTCAGCATGGCACAGGCGAGGGTCTGATGCCTTACGTTAGTAGCTACCTTTATCTTTGCTTTGGTAGGCCTTGTATGGTGAGGCTGTTAATATTTATTATACAGTCAGTACTATAATCACCCAGCAAATGAGGGTTTAATGCCCTGACTTGTGAAGGGAATTGAATTGATTAGTTACAGTGATCAGTGGTTTAATCAAAGGGAAAAAAAGAAAGGAATCATTGAGGAAGTAGAATCATTTTAAAAGAGGCATGTTTATTATTAATGTTTACTCAGCATTCTTTTTTTTAACAAACAAGTTATGGTAAAATAAAACTTATTCCACATTTCTTCATTAATGTAATCAACTAGGCACATTTTCAAGCTAGTTTATATTAATTTTCTTAAAACATTTTTTATTTTCATTTTTTTAAAAATATATTTTTATTGATTTTTTTAGAGAGGAAGGAGAGGGATAGAGAGTTAGAAACGTTGATGAGAGAGAAACATCGATCAGCTGCCTCCTGCACACCTCCTACTAGGGATGTGCCCACAACCAAGGTACATGCCCTTGCCTGGAATCGAACCCGGGATCTTTAAGTCCTCAGGTGGGTGCTCCATCCACTGAGTCAAACCGGTTAGGGCAAAATATTTTTTAAATTGAGGATTACAGTAAGAAGAAGAAGCATCAGTATGATCTTTAGTAAAAAAGGAAAGGTGTTGAAATCCTTTTCTTACGTTTTGAACTCCAGAATCCAAAGATGGCTAAGAATGGTATTGTTTGCTCATTCATTCAACAGAAATTTAGTGAGCAGCATCCTGGATGCCAGGAACTCTTCTAGGCACCAAGATTTATCAGTTAAAGAAACAAAACCTGGCATTGATCCTTGCTCTTATCAAAGCAAGATGTACAATAGACAATAAACATAATGAATAGGTAAGTTACAGTATTGGGTGATAAGGACTTATAAAAAAATTTGAACAAGAGGTGAGGAGTGAGGGGGCGTTACAGTTCAGGAGAAGGCCTGACTAAGTGATGTTTGTGCTGGATCTCTCTGATCTTGTCAGTGAGCATTGCTTTATAGGAAGTGAGGAAATGACCTTGTCATGTCAGGGCAGATTTAGTTTCCTTTGGTCTTGCTTTGTGTCTGAATGCTGTGCCTCAGAATGATTATTTCTCTGACTTTTTCACATATGTTTCTGACCCTTGCTAATCCTTGAAACAAATGAGTCAGAAGCAACATTTGGTTCAAGGCAGGATGGAAAATTTTGACCAAGTACTACTGATGTTTAAGAGCAGGATATGGAATTCAGTTTTTGCTGTGAGATGTAATAGTATGGAATTCAAGATTGTATATCAACGTTGGGTAAAGCATAAACAAGCAAAGATTGCTACATCATGTTCATCAGAAGCTGGCACTGACATATTGTCTCAGTAGGTTTTAGTCCCCAGTTAAGAACAGCACAACCACTTCTCCTTTCTCCTTCAGCAGTTCAGAGGTAGGAGTTAGTGCAATTAGATTATGTCATCTAGGTTCATACTTCCTTATTGCTGGGGAGTGCTCAAAAGCAGAAAGTCAGTGGCTTGGTATTTTTGGTATCCCTCCAACTTTGGAACTTCTTGTACCTATAAACATTAACCTTGCCTGGCTTCCTGAACCCCCATTTCCTATGATCTGCCGAAACAATAAGCAGCATGTGTTTGACTATATTAGAACCTGTAAATTTGCAATTGATGCCAAACCCACTTGAAATACTAATTCCAACTTTTTATTGTTGGAGCTTTTCTTTTTCTTTTTAAAAAAATATTTTAAAATGTGTCTAATTCAGATATTAATTTGCACTCAAATTAAAGCTATCAAGTGTGTTTTGTATTTTCAGGGCTGAAAAGAAATTGGTGACTTTTTTATTATGCCATATACCACTAATTCCCAACTTTAAACGTGGTTGGATGACATCTCCCAAATACTGGCTGAGAAAGACCATGTATTTAAAAAGGGTTTGCTCAGAGAGCCCCTCTGTCCCCCTCATCAGGGAAATGTCTGAATGTATAATAACAGTGTCCCAATAATTCCAAAAGGGACGTATGCATAGCTGACCTAGGGTGCCTCAGCCAGAAATCTTACACGTACGACCCAAGGTACTTAATTAATAATTCCACTGAGCATAAATTACACAGGAGACAAACATGCAATGCACGAATTACACACGGTTTATTTACCAGAGTCCTGGTGGGTTCCAGACCTCGGCAGGCACCTGGGGGTCCGCACTGACACACACACACAGTCCACGGAGGATGTTGCAGATGCAGCTTGGCTTGAGTTGAGGCTTCTCACGATGGCTCACGGTCCGAGGCTCAGGGTTCAGGGCTCCAGGCTCAGGCAGAGCTTTTGGCTGGTGCAGGCAGGGGAAGTGGAGAGCGACCCTCTGTGGAGGAGCAGAAGGAATGTCTCTGATCTTCTGTGGAGCTTGCTCTTTTTATGTGTCTTCAGTGCTCAGATGTGTCTTCAGTGTGTCTTATCAGCGGGTCCCAGGAGTCCTGCTATCTTGTCTTTTATGTGGGGTACAGATCACTTTATTTTCTACACACAGGTCACTCAAGGGTGCTTATCAGTTTGTTTGCATTCCATTTCACACTTTCAGATATCACACTTCAATTCCACACTTCAATACTTATTCAATATTGTATTTATCCTTATTACTATTATGATAACAAATGGTCCTCCTGCTAGATATGGTATTCTACTTACATATTTTCCTAGATTTAATCAAGCTCCTTATATATTCCATGCTAGTCCTGTTTTCCCTAAGATGTATCCCTGGACATTAGCTGTGAGGCTAAATTCTTCCTGTTTCCAAGATCAGTGTGCTCCGGGAGTGCAGAATGGACAGATGTGGAGGGTCTGACCTGACCACTGGATGCCAGCCAGCTCATTCCCTTTCTTTAGGAAGATCCGACCTTTAAACAGGCATCCCTAACCCGAGTGTTCCATGGCCCTCCAGCTCTGTGACACTGAGGTGCTTCTAGGAGAAAGTGTTTCATATTCAAATCAATCTGGAAAATGGTATGTGCGCTACACCTCCCTTGGAGGGACCTACTGTGTATTTGCATTTTAGAGACTCTGAAATCTTGTGGATAGGAGGAAAGCAAGGGGACCCTGTTTAACTCCTTTCAGAGCATTTCCATTAGGTCGTACCACCTTTTTTTAGTGGAATACCTATTAACTTCCCTACCACTGGAGCTCTGAAGAATGCTGCTTTAAATTATTCTTTTAAAAAAAATATATATATTTTATTGATTTTGTACAGAGAGGAAGGGAAAGAGACAGAGAGCAAGAAACATCGATGAGAGAGAGTCATCGATCAGCTGCCTCTTGCACACCCCCTACTGGGGATATGCCCGCAGCCAAGGTACATGCCCTTGACCGGAATCGAACCTGGGTCCCCTCAGTCCCCAAGCCAACGCTGAGCCAAACTGGTCTCGGCATATTCTTGATTTAAATGACATCTAGAGAAAGGAACGTGACAAACATGTAAATAATCCATCAATATATCGAGTTTCTTTTTAAAGGAAACTTAACCATGTTCTATTTACGAAGATGGTTTTTGTTAAACTGTTTGCTTAACGTTAATATACAAAAGAAAGTGTAGCATAAAACGCGGGAAGCTGGATTTACAGGACAAAAATGGGCGTAGCTCTCACTAGCATGTCTGACGTTACCGGGCATAGGTGTATTATGGAGCCAAAGAAATTGGTATTTGGGAGTTATGGAGAGAGGTGTTGCAAAATCATTTGTTTTTATGATTGAAGGTTTTTGTA